CGGGGTTCCGCGCGGAGCCCCTCCGCATTCTCAGGGCCCGCAGTTGGCCGCCGCACGGAGGAAGCAGGCCTCGGGGACGCGGACGCCCGGCCCTGCCCGAACAGGAAGTGTGCATGGGTTTCCCACTGCTCGGCGTCCTTCTTCTTCCTCCGCGGGAAGGGAAGGGAAGGGCCGGGAAGGCCGCGGCGGCGGGAAGGGCCAGGCCGCCGGATATTCCCGGGCTTGGGAACCATCGGCCCGTGGGTTCCGTGTCGAGGGGTGTAGGACCGTATTGGGTGAATCGATCAATGAATGGACAGTCCACTCGGATCGTTACTGAGATTGCAGTCGGCCAGGCTTGGTCCTGAAGTCTGGGAATAAAGATCCAGCAAGCAAGCAAAGGCCCTGCCCTGGGGGAGCTTACGTTCCCTTGGAGGAAGCAGATGTCCAATTGCAGTTTCCGTACACTTCGTGGTAACACATATCACTCAGCCTACCTTTAGTATGAATTGATCTGGAGATGGGGAATAGTAAAAACGGGAAATCAACTTTTTCATTGAAAGTATTCAATACATTGTGGGGCTTTTGAATGCCTCCATTTTAAAAAAAAGTTTCCATTGAGTTGATTCCGATTCATGGCCATGCCTGGCCTCCCGTGTGTGTCAGAGTAGAAACGCCAAAAAACCAAACCAAACTCACTGCCATTGAGTGGAAGCCTACTCACAGTGACCCTGTAAGACAGGATAGACTGCCACTGTGAGTTTCGGAAACTGTAATTCTTTAAGGGAGTAGAAAGCCCTGTCTCTCTCCCTTGGAGCAGCTGGTGGTTTCAAACTACAGACTTTGTGGTTAGCAGCCACCAAGACTCCAGGGTGTCAGAGTGGAACGGATGATTTTGTAAAAGTACATCACAAGGCCTTCTTAGATGCCTCTGGCAGGGAAGCGGGTGGGGGACCCAACCTCTGATGTTTGAGTTAGCCCCAGCATGTTAATAGTTTGCACTGCCCTGGGACTACAAAAAATACCCCTAGTTCTTTTTTTTTTAATGTTGTATTGGCAAATCTGGGGTTTAATTCAACCAGAAATAAAGGGAGTGTACTAACAAAAAAAATAAACCACTGTATCCAGTGAACCCCAGTCAATAGTGATTCATAGGACAGAGTAGAACTACTCTAGGGTTTCCAGGGCTGTAAATCCTTACAGAAGGGAGAAGACAGCCTCATCTTTCTCATTCCCCACCCCGCCCCCCTCCATCCCATGGTGGATTTAAACTGCTGACCTTGAGGTTAGCAGTCCCAGTACTTCACTGACCCTGCCACCAGCCTTTTCTAAATGTACAAAATTGCAAAATAGCAGAAAATTACTTAAACCCTACTTCTTATTTAATTAGGTCCACTATTATGTTTGCTTCTAAGTAAATAACATTTCTTAAAATGGCATCGTGGGTGAGAATGTGATTGAGCCTAGAGTTCTAGAGAAATTTCACTTCCTAAATTTCTTGACTGCAGTATTTAGACTACAGCATTTGGTCTATAATTTATCTGACTTTTGAGGAATTAGGAGAATAATGCCTATATTGGATTAAATGTTTAACATTCACTGCCTTCTCAAGTTAGATCTTAGTCTTGTGAGGACTAGAGCCACGAACCCTTGAAGCAGCCTGTATCCACATGTACATAGAGGCTTGGTGGTGTAGTGAGTTATGTGTTGGGCTGTTAGCCCCAAAATCAGCAGTTCAAAACTAGTAGCCTCTCCAAGGGAGAAAGATTAGGCTTGCTACCCCCATAAAGAATTATAGTCTGGGTGTGTTAGACCAGGTTGACTAGAGAAACAAATTCATTGACACTCTTATATGCATAGAGAGCTTTATATCAAAGAGCAATTGTGTATTGAGAAAGCATTGCAGCCCAGTCCAAATCAAGTCCCTAAGTCCAATATTAGCCCGTATGTCCGATACTAGTCTACAAATTCCTCTTCAGACTCATACTGCAGCACATGCAATGATGTCAAATGCAGGAAGATCACAGGCTGGTGGGTGGAAAGTCTTTGGGATCCAATGCTGATGCTGGTGGAAGCATCTCAGTGCTCTGGCTGCCATGGGCGTGGCTCCATGTGGCTTGTCAACAGGAGTGTGATGCAGAGAGAGAGAGTGGCCCATCTCCAGGAAGGAAGAGGGAGTTCCCAGAATCCTCATAAGTAGGCCATCCCCACAAGAGACAGCTTCAGGGTGTCACCTGACTGACAAGTTAGACTGCACCCTTCATTCTTTTATCAAGTTGACATGAAATTGTCATGAATTGTGTAACTACCACATTGGGAAATCCATAGGGGCAGTTTTACCCTACCCCATAGGGTCGCTCCAAGTCAGAACCGACTCAGTGGCAGTAAGACATCCACATGCATTAGGGCGAAACCTGTGAAACGTTTCTTTATGGGTTAAAACTTGGACTTCACATGGTTCAACCAATACCTCATTTTATATGATCATATGTAGTAGAGGGTACGGTGGTGAGAACTAATTGTGGTAAGGTGGGATGTTCTTGTCAACATTTTAACATTGAGACTTTAAGCTGAACATCCCAGGAAGTAAGTGGACAGTCTGAGCTCCATGTTTGCAGATAAAACCTTGTTCATAGATGAAGAACCTGAAATAAAGGGATTGGAGGGGTGGGGGAGCACCCATATGGCTGACCGCCAGCCTCGCCCTCCCAAATACAATGGAGTAATTAGGTTCATGATTTCTCTTTGAGTGCCAAAAATCTCAGAGTCAATTTTGACCCATCTCGACGCTAGGGGACAGAGAACTATCACCTCAGAGGGTTTCCAAGACTGTAACCTTTACAGAAACAGACGGACATCTTTCTCCTAGGAAGCAGCTGGTAATTTTGATTAACAGCTGAGTTCCTTACCAAAAGGTGCTAGCAAGGCTCTTTGGCTGCTATAGCCAGCTTTACAACCTAGTTCCAAATTGTCTTCATTCCCAAATTGACCTCTTCCCATGCCCTCTCAACTAATTAGATAGTCTTTTGAATTTTACCTAAGAATTTCTCACAACTCCTTTCTCTTTCATTCCAACGTTTAATGTTCTTTGCCTGGTCCACACTAGCTACCCAGGGACCTCCCTGACGCCAGCATTGTCGCCTTGAAAGAGCCATAGGAACATCAATTGAACACCTACTAAAAGTCAGGGACTAATCAGTTATTGGAGATGGAAAGAGAAGACGAATTCTATGTGGTGATTTCTTGGTCCTGACATCTTGTAATAAGGCCCTGCCTTCAAAAAATTGGGATGAATTCCCTCCTCTTCAGTGTGAACTGGATTAAATTAACTTATTTCTAACAATTGTCATGGCAGAAGTGATGGTGTGTGACCAGTGGTGGAATTCAAGTAATTTAGCAACCAGTTCACTGCCCTAATGACCATTTTAAGTATATGTATATTTATAGATATAATTTTAAGTATATATATATTTTTTAAAAGATATACTGAAAGGTAGTTTATGATTTTCACATGATATCAGAGCACCACTCTTGTGCAGATGAATGTTAAAAAAGAGTAAGGAATGTAAATTTGTGATTCCCCATTGGGCCGCTACCCAGCTGCCCACCCTAGAGAGAGCCCTTACAGAGTGCCATTTGAACAAGCAGTTCGCCGAACTCAACAAAAAATTAGTCATCGGTTCTGCTGAACTGGTGTGAACCCCCGAATCCCACCCACCACTATGTGTGATGCCCCAAACTTGTTCACAAAGCTCTTTTGACTTTCTCCTTCTCTCTCCCTTGGGTCACTGGCTCTAAGGGAAGCCAGCTGTCATTTTGTGTGAATATTTGTGCAGCCTTCTGGGGAGGTCCACGTGGCGGGGAGCCTAGACCTCTACAACCAGCACTAACTTTCCCAGGCTAGTGAGTGAAATGCCTAGAAAGCAGATCCTCTGGTCCCAGTGCAGCCCAAGTAACCTCTTGACTTCAGTTTCATATGAGACTCTGAGCCAGAACCACCCAGGTAAGCCACTCCTAAATTCCTGACACTGTGAGATAATACATGTTTGCTGTGTTCGCTGCTAGGAGCCGCGGGGCAGAGTGAGCTACACACTGGACTGTTAGCTGAAAGGTGGGCAGTTCAAACTCACCAGTCACTTCGAGGGAGAGAAATGAGGCTCTCTGCTCCCATAAAGATCTACAGGCTTGGAAACCTACAGGGTCAGTTCACTCTGTTCTGTAAGCTCACTGTGAGTCCGAATTGATGCATGTGATATTAATGATAATGTTAGATGGTTTCCACAGTCCCTTGGGTCATCTTTCATAGGAATGAAAAACTGTTGGGGGAGAGTCAATGCCAAGTCATAGAACTTGGAACAGTTCCATGGGCTTTCTTGGCCCTAAAGAAAAACGGTCGGAGAACTACATTGGCCCATCATAGCTACATCTAAGTCCTAATGTTTTATGGGCTATAGAAGATCTAGGAAGAGTGTTTAAATTGTTAGGTGCCATCAAGTCAATTCTAACTCATAGAAATCCTACGTACAACAGAAGAAACACTGCCCAGTCGTGTACCGTTGTCCAAATTGTTCTTATGTTTGAGCCCTTCAGTGCAGCCACATGTCAATTCATCTTGCTGAAGGTCTTCTTCC